GGCCCCATTTGACGACCTTTCTTCCCACAGCTGTAAAGTTAACAGCACGGTCGTTAAGCGAAGCCGTCTTCCCCCTGTGCTTGCCGGACGGTTGCAAAAAGGGGATCACGTGACCCAGGACATTGCAACCGTCATAGGTACATGCCAGTTGCCGAGCCTCCGAATTTGGATCCCCCGATTATGGGGATGCTGCAACGGCCGTGTGAAAAACGGCGATAAGTCACTTTTTTTTCAGCGCCGTTGTAACTTCAAAGGGTCACTGAGAGAGCAGTGGTAAGTCGAGGACTGCCTGTAATTGAAGCGCAAGCTATATTTTCAGCGGTTCATCTGTTCCGCTTGGCCTGCCTAGACTCCCCCCTAACCCGTCCCCCTACCTTTTCCTGCTGCTTCAGTGTAACCAGGTTGCTGCTCCGATGAACGGCTTGCTCTGCTTCGTCTTTGTCTCTGCATCGCTGTTCGTAGAGCCTCTTGCCCTAGGAGAGGGCAGAAGAGAGCAAGCTGATGGGGGCAGGAAATGATCCCCTGTTTTTAATCAGCCAGAATTCTTAAATGTCTATGGCAGGGGTCTTCAAACCTGGCCCTTTGATGACTGGTAGACTTCAACTCCCAGAATTCCTCAGCCAGCCAGGGCTGGCTGAGGAATTCTGGGAGTTGAAGTCCACCAGTCATCAAAGGGCCAGGTTTGAAAACCCCTGGTCTGGATCCAAGCCCGCAGTTTCATCAAAATGGCCGACTGAGGAATTCTGGGAGTTGAAGTCCACCAGTCATCAAAGGGCCAGGTTTGAAAACCCCTGGTCTGGATCCAAGCCCGCAGTTTCATCAAAATGGCCGACTGAGGAATTCTGGGAGTTGAAGTCCACCAGTCATAAAAGGGCCAAGTTGGAAGACCCCTGGTCTGGATCCAAGCCCGCAGTTTCATCAAAATGGCCGACTGAGGAATTCTGGGAGTTGAAGTCCACCAGTCATAAAAGGGCCAAGTTTGAAGGCCCCTGGTCTGGATCCAAGCCCGCAGTTTCATCAAAATGGCCGACTGAGGAATTCTGGGAGTGGAAGTTCACCAGTCATAAAAGGGCCAAGATGGAAGACCCCTGAAACTCTGGATCCAAGCCCACAGTTTCATCAAAATGGCCGACTGAGGAATTCTGGGAGTTGAAGTCCACCAGTCATAAAAGAGCCAAGTTTGAAGGCCCCTGGTCTGGATCCAAGCCCGCAGTTTCATCAAAATGGCCGACTGAGGAATTCTGGGAGTTGAAGTCCACCAGTCATAAAAGGGCCAAGTTTGAAGGCCCCTGGTCTGGATCCAAACCCGGAGTTTCATCAAAATGGCCGACTGAGGAATCCTGGGAGTTGAAGTCCACCAGACATAAAAGGGACAAGCGTGAAGACCCCTGTCTATGGAGATTCTCCATTATTCAGGTCACAGTTCTCTCCAAAGGTGCTTTTTTCAAGAGGCAATTTGGATGTCCTTTGTTTTTCCCTGAAGACGTTTCACTTCTCATCCAAGAAGCTTCTTCAGTTCTGACTGGATGGTGGGGAACGGAAGAAAGTATAAATCCTCCCATTTCCCCACCATCCAGCCAGAGCTGAGGAAGCTTCTGGGATGAGAAGCGAAACATCTTCCAAGAAAAAACAAAGAAAGTCCAGTTGCCTCTTGGAAAAAAAAAAGCACCTTTTGGGACAGAA